ATATTTCCAGGCATGGCTTTAAATTCCACTTTAATTCCACTCTAAAAGCCATTGGCATTTAAATTCAATGCCAATGGCTTGATTTATATCTCATACCATAATGATTCCCCTGAACTCTGAATTCGAATGTCCAACAGACATCTCTCATGTAGCATTTCCAAAATGGAGCTCCTTGGCTAGTCTATCCCATCTCAGTAAATGGCAGCTTGGTTGCACCATTTTATATCCAGTCCATTGGCAAATCTGTTGGCTCTACCTTGGAAATATAGTCAGCCCTCCGTATTCATGAATTCCACATCCATGGATTCAACCAACCTCGGATCAAAAACATTCATGAAAAAAATGGATGGTGGCGTCTGTACTGAACATGTACAGACTTTTTTTCTTGTCATTATTCCGTAACAATACAGTATAGCAACTATTTACATAACATTTACATTGTATTAGGCATTATAAGTAATCTAGAGATGGTTTAAAGTATATGGGAGGGTGTGCATAGGTTATGTGCTAATACTATGCCATTTTATATAAGGAACTCGTGCACCCATGGATTTTGGTATCTGTGAGAGGTCCTGGAATCAATCCCCCACAGATACTGAGGTACCACTGTATACCTGGAATTCAAGAACTTTTCTAGGGCAAGCCCCCACCATCACTCACCGATTTGCAATAGCCTCCTAGCCAGACTCCTGGCTGCCAGTCTTGCTGTCCAACAGCCAGATGGTTTGTAGACAACAAAAGTCAAATCACATCACTCCTCTGAATTCTAGGTCTTTACCTGGCCCTTCAAGACCCTTAAGCATCTGCTTGCTGTCTACTTTCCCCCCAAAGGGAAAACAAAACCAACTTTAAACGCCCTCACTCCCACCCTGAGACTACAGCCATTCACCCCTGGTGGGCGGGTCCCCAGCAGGCTAAACTCATTTCCACCTCAGGACATTTGCACTTGCTATCCCTTCTGCTGAGGATGTCTTTCCCTGAGCTGTGCCCTTAACTAGTTCCCTCCCCTAATCGGCAGGGACTCCTCTTACCACCCATATTAAATAGCACAAAATAGAAAGTTTCCAAAATAAAAAAAAAAAACTAGCTGGGAAGGACATGATTCAAACCCTTATGGCTCCCAAAGTAATAGATAGAAAAATTTCTGTTGAAAGAAAGGATGAAAGAATGAATGAATGTTAGCCCACTGCCCAACCTGTACTCCAAGCTTCCACACACAGGGCAGATACACAGATGGCCTGGGGACAGAGGTCCTATCCCATCCTTGGAAACTGATAGCCCCAGTCGCCTACCCAGCCAAGAGTAAGGAATTTTAAAGCTGACCAAATTGATGTCACAGTCTGCGTGACAATCTTAAGGATGGGTCTTTAACTTTGCTGGATATTTCTGCCAAGTCCCCAGGATCAGGTTTCCGGAGGTTCTATTGGGTAGAAACATGCTGTGAAATCAGTATCTCTTCCATTTACAACATGCCTGTTGAGGACTCTGTGCTTGTTTTATTTTTAAAAATAGAGTTCAAACATTTAATTTTTAATAAGGTGCCAACGTTTACACAGAGCGTTACAATAAAAAACCCAACACATTGCTATGTGGTCGTTCCAACACCAAATGCGAATATATCTCATAAAAGTCGCACGCAGGCTCATTCCCAGCACCTCTAGGATGGCAAATAAATAGTTATTACTGCGCCAGTGAAAATGGGGTCTGGTTAATGTTTCCCAAGTCAGATATACAGGCTCCCTCCTCGTGTAAATCATTTCAAAGGCTAGAAGCTCAGCCTGATAAAACACTGCCCATGCGAAATTAAAATGAAAGCGTAATATTACAATTACGTGTAATTCAATCGTTCTCCTTGGGTTTCTCATCTTCTCCAGCTTAGCATCTGATAATGAATACTAAGCAGAATTTGCACATGTTGATAATTTAAAGTAATCAGCTCTCACCTAAGTGAAACAAACTGTTCTAAAATTTTCAGTTTCTGTGACTTACTAGGGCTCAAAATCTATCTATTTACACGTCTTCTCCTTTGTAAGGTCTCTGGAAAGGAGTAAATAGAGAACTTTGAGACGGCCTGGTTCCAAGTAACAGCAAGCACTGAATACCGAATGGCTGACTTCTAGCACATTTACCTTTCCCTGAAAGCTACGCAAGCACCCGCATTCCCAGGGGATGTGCTGAAAAACACTTAGAAGAAATGCACGTGTCACTTCCAGGATCCCATTTATTTGGTATCCTACTAAAACACATTTCCTTAGTTAATAGTGAGGGAGAGCAAGAAACAGGCGATGGGCCCCACTGGAGAGCTCCTCTCCATGACATACTGATGGTTTTATACATTAAAGTCTGACTCAGAAAGAATCCAGAAAAGTTCGACAAATGTCTAAAGCCTTTGGTTCTGGAAAAGAAAAAAATTATTCTGAAAGATGTTTATTTTCCCTCCACATCCCAGTTCTGTTCATCACATTACCAGGTAAAGTGGAGTGACGTTCTGCATTTGGATACAGCAAATACCCTCAGAATCCCTACCCTTGTACTTCTACGAGAAAGAGTGACAAAGAGCATGGCAGCATGTTCCCCGTGGAGTTTGAAAGAGAGCACCGGGGGTGAGCGGGCACCGGGGTGAGTGGACCGCATGGCTGAGTCTGGGCCCCATGTGAGAAAGGCGATTCACTGCAGTAGCCTCCACTGCAGACTCCCCATCCTTGACCTTCACCTGCCCGCCTGACCCTGGCCTTTTGTTGAGGAGAGCCTAAACCCCACAACAAGCTAGAGGCTCAACTTTCAAAGACAAATAAGACTGGGTTATTTCAGTCAAGTAACCCTTCCAATTGCTTCTCATGAATTCATGGACATCTCTAAACTAAGCACTGGGGAGGACACAAATCCCAAGTTCCCCCTCGGTGACCTTGGCCCAGAATAAACTATCCCCTCATCCCCATCCATGGCCTCAGCAGGATTAGAAGGAAATTCTGTGGTTTCACTGACCTTTGGCTATCTTTTCACTGTTTTATGTACCCTTTTGAGGCTACCAGCTTCAGCTAAAAGGACCTCCTGGATTCGATAAAGCCAGGCTATGACTAATACTTTCTTTCCCATTATAGGCAGCTCCGAGGGGACCACACGGGAATAAGAGGAGGACTACATGGAGCAATCTTTAAGACTTTTTAGGATTTAAAGTCCAAGAGAATCCAGTTTCACTTGCAAATGTTCCGTGGTAACCCCAATAACAACACTAACATCAGCAGCTGTTACTCAATGCGTACGTGCTGTAAATGAGACAATGAATTTCATTCTATTATAGGACCAAAGATTAAATTCTCTATGATTGCCTGGGTATTTCCACGCTGGCATGGTTATTTCATGTTACTTTGGAGGGGGCCAATGAATTACAGAAACAAATTTTCCATAGTGTGTCAGAATGATCCGACTTAAATTTTTTTAACTCAGAGAAAATACATTTTTGCACGTTAACTAGAAGTTTCATAGAAACCCACTTGTAGCTAGGTTTTTATCAAAATTGAAAATTCTTATTAGGGCTAAGAAATGATGGATTCTGATAAGGAATTCTAGGTCAAATCTGAGAGAAGGGGTGGGGAGCAGGCAGGTTAGAAGAGCATTTGCAAGGGTTCAGCAAGACAGAAGACAGGAAGAGTGATGAAAGGGACACAATGATGGCCTCCAGTATAGCAGACATCTTCCCCTCCCAAGGACCAAACCCCCTTCCTTGTAAGAGGACTAGAATTTCATTCAGAGAGTAAGTAATGTGCCTAGCTAAAAAGTTTCCTTCCCACACTAGTGTGTGGCTAGGAGGAGCCATGTGACAGATTTCTAGCCAATGGACATGAGCTGAGCGCCTCTGGGAAAGCTTTGCTTTCCTGATGGAGACACTGCATCTTGTGACTTACCTCTTCTTCCCCACCACGTAGAAAGCAGACGTGCCGCCCAGCACTTCAGCAACCATCTGGCGACTACGAGGCAATAAGCCGAAGGACAAAGGGTAAGGACGGTGAAAAAGAAATACCAAAGGAGAGTGGATCCCTGGTGACATTACGGCAACAGTCCTGGAGTGCCCACCTCCCACACTTATTCAGCCCTTCACTCTCTGTTGGGTTTTCTGCTACTTGCGGGCAAATGCACACCTACCCGATACATCAATGACCAATGACACTGAGATCGGAAAGGATGAGGATGATTCTGTGAAAAGGAGGGGACAAAGACGAAAGTGAAAGAGCAAGTGGGATCAATCCTATTTACACAGATCACACAGTGGACCTAAGACACAGCTTAACTCCTTCCTGCAGAAAAGACAGTGGTCCTGACTAAAAGAACAGACGTGTCATTAAGTTCAAATACAAAGATGCCCAGTGCTCAAATTGGCTGTATAAAAGTTAATGCTGTCCTCCTGTGCTGTGACTGCTAGTAGGACAGTGCATGCTCATACACTAAAACTGGACGTTTTGCATCCTACAGAGAAGAGAATGGAACAGATAGAGAATCAATTTAGTATTTCTCTCGCAATTCATTTGGAGGAGTTCCCACTGAGAACTCATATGCCTTGCCCTCTCCACAGCCATATCTGATAAGACCTAAGAGGAAAAATAAGTAGCAACACTGGCAGCCTGTTTTGACTCTTGCATATGCTACTTGGAAATTAAAGCACACAGGCTGCGGCCCACGGAAGTGCTGAGCTGATCAGTACTTAAGAATGCACAAGCACAGCAATAAATAAATGAAGCAAATGCAACGGGGATGCAAAGCAATGATGGGGTGTGTACACCCTCAAAATAAGGACACGTTCCTTTGTACGGAAGGAGACAGGGCAGCACTACACGCTCCAGTAGTTCATTGTGCAGTCCCAAGACGCTGGTCTTGCATAGAGAAATGATTTCTTCACGCTCATCATGCCGGGTGCCCCTGATGTTGGTTCAGACACTGATGGAGAAGCCAAATAAAAGGCTAAGAATAGGAGCAAGAAACGGGATGGTCATGAGCGGACCCACTGGCAGATTTACAGCTTTCACTGTGTTCAAATTTAATTTCTTTTTCTTTTCCAACAAAGCAAGTGTTGAATGTCTTTCGTCTGACTCAGTAACATAGCAGCAAAACTTCAGGAACCGATAAATAAGGATACTGACACGCTGATACCCCTTTGCCTTTTGGACTCAAAGCTTCACGTGTGTTCGTAAGTTACAAACATCAGCCTTGAGCAGAAGGGGTAAAAGTTTCTCGACTGGGCATTCGTGTTCCACGTCCTCGTACAGACCACACCACCTACACCCACCCCCGGACTCCCACAGCAGTCAGGAACGCATCAGGAAACACAGTTTGAAACTCATACGGGGTTAAAGCTATAAAATGCCTATTCATGGATGTTTTTGTTTTTGTAAAAAAGATTTTATCCTTCTTCCCCTCCTTTCAAACAAAAACTTTTGTTTCTGCCGTCCTCAGCGCATGATTTTTCATTGGGATAATGATGCATCATTTATTTCTTTTAAAATGACATAGTGTTTTTCTCAAAATAATTGCCACCTGGTTGTTAATTAAACATGATGGATTCGGGGTCCTGGTTTGCCATCTGGGCCATATGTCTCAGAACATCCTTTTTGGTGATGATGCCAAGAAGTCTCCTGGAGAAGAAACAAAACAGGGAAAAGAGGTCAACACTGCAATACGGCCTCATCCCTGTCCCTAAGCCCCTGTGCCTTTCCCACCTGGGCACAGGGACAGGGACAGACAATGTTTCCTAGCCTCCCCTGGGGTTGGGCAGAGCCAATGGTGTGAGTTCTGGCCAATGGCCTGGGGGTGGAGGTGACAGATGCCACTCCCAGGTCTCCTGCATATTTTCCCACACTCTCTCTCATCTGGTAGCCAGAGCCAGAGGAGCCAGTAAAAGAGTCTGAGGTCACAGAGATTGACTCAGGAGCCACCAGATTCAAGGACCTGGGTCCCTGAATGACTGTGTGGTCCAGAGCCCAAGCCTGCTGCAACTCACATTGGATGTGACGTGTGAGAAAAATAAAACCTTTACTGCGTTAGGCCACTGAGATTGCAAGCTTGTTTACTACAGCAGTAAACCTACAATGACTAATATAGTCTCTTAAATTTCAAGACTATAATTAATTTTAAAAGGGTTTATGAAAGCCACTGTCAAAACTTGACCATACCACAGAAATTCCAAGTATAAGGTATTTTACGTACAAAAAATGTTAAGTATAAGATAAAAATTGATTCTATCTTACCGGAAGGATAAACGTTGACATTCATCTCAGACCTTCTATGTAAATTGCTTCCTCTTCCAAAATTCCATTGCTTTCAACTTATAAAAAACAATGGCACTTACCAGGGTCCCTTATATAAGGCCACCTAGACTGTACATCACACAACTCCAGGGAACACTGTTCACAAACACGGCAATGTAAATAGTGCCCCCTGGAGCGCACATTTATACAACCTTTCACAGCAACTCTTACTTCATTGTTTTATTAAACGACCACCTTTGGGGGAACAAATCATGCCCCGTGGGTAAAGTGCAAGGTTTAAAAGAAGGGGATGTGCACAACTTCTTTGGAAAAAACGAAGTTCCATTGCCAAGAGAGTTTGCAAAATACTGCTCACTATATCTTCCCCATAACCAGGAAAAGGGGAATGGGGACCCAAACGACGGCAGTGTCACTTTGGAATTCTGTATATCTATTAAAGTGACGGTTTCTACTCTGTGTTTATGTAAAAGGATATACAAAAAAACTAGAAAACACAATTGTAATACACTGTCATTTAAGTAAAGCCAAATTAGTCAAATTCACCTCTAACAGGTAGTGACTGCGAAGAGGGGATGTAAATATTCAAAGTGGTATTCAAATCAGTTACACCTGGTGAAACGGATGCTGATTAGTGAAACTGTCAGGACAGAATTCTGACTTTTTTGTCTCTGATCACACTAGACCTCAAATGATCTTGGAAAGTTATTTATTTTTTGTGTTGCCCCTTCCCCTCCACCTCACAGGAACATGTTTAGGAGGGAGGAAAATAGCAAAAGGGGTTTTTAAAAGCATGCAAAACAAAAAGATTAATGACGACATGGATCGCAAAAACATTGAAAGAAGATGTCCTGACTCTACGGTGATTATTTTTTTTAAGAGATAGGGTCTCACTCTGTTGCCCAGGCTGGAGTGCAGTGGCCTGATGATAGCCACACTGTAACCTTGAACTCCTGGGCTCAAGTGATCTTCCTGTCTCAGTCTCCAGAGTAGCTGGGACTACAGGCCCCGCCTTTTTTGTTGTTGTTGTTGTGACAGGGTCTCGCTCTGTTGCTCAGGCTGGTCTCGAACTCCTGGCCTCATGTGATCCTCCAGCCTCGGCCTCCCAAGGTGCTGGGATTACAGACGGGAGCCACTGTGCTTGGCCTATAGTGATAATTTTTTTAAATGGGAACGAAATAATAAATGTGGAAAGCAAGATAGAATTAGACAATCAACATTTTGCAACCCCCAATGTAATAATTAGTTTAGCCAATAATTATCAATGGATACCCAAACCATTGAGTAAATGTCTGCTGGGAAAGAGAAAATTCAGAGTCTCAAAGTATTGCTACACAGATTATGTACAAAGAGAAAAATGTCCCTTTACAATGGAGGGCTCTGGCTATCATCCAGGTGATGGAGCTTACCATCAACAGAGTCAGAAAAGCTGACGCTGTAGTATCTCCTATGTTGGAATGCTGCCAAAAATTACTTAAACAAGATATTAATAGAATCATGAGGAAGCAACTGGACAGATCAAGAATGTAAGACTACTGGTCTGGACTCTTCAAGGAAAATCTATGTCATAAAAAATAAACCAAAAAAGGCAGGGAACTGGCCTATACAAAAGACGAAAGAGGTAAAACAACTCAACACAATGTATGAATCTTGCTGGAATTCTGGGTTGAAATTTGAATAGAAACTAGATACTGAATGATATATTGGATTATTGTTAATTGTGTGTAATTAGGGTTTGGTGGTTATGTAAAAGACTGTCCTTATTCTTAGAAGATGTGCACTTCATTCACAATTGCCAAAACTTGGAAGAAACCAACATGCCCTTCGATAGGTAAATGGGTAAACAAACCGTGGCACATCCAGACAATGGAATATTCTTCAGTGATTAAAACAAATGAGCTAGCAAGCCACAAAAAGACATGGAGGAACCTTAAATGTGTATTGCCAAGTGAAAGAAGCCAGTCTAAAAAGGATACATACTGAATGATTCCAACTACATATATGCGACATTCTGGAAAAGGCAAAACCATGGAAAAAGTAAAAAGATCAGTGGTTGCCAGGGGTTGGTGGGAGAAAGGGAGAGATAAAGGGCAGAGCATGGGGGATTTTTAGGGCAGTGGAACTACTCTGTGTGATACTGCAATGGTGGACATCTGACACTATGCATTGGTCAAAACCCACAGAAACATACAACAGCAAGAGTGTAGTCTTATGTGAACTGCAGACTTCAGCTTATAATCATGTATCAATATCGGTTCATCAACTGCAATAAATATGACACACTAAGATGGCAGCAACAGAGGGACTGTGGGGGAGGAGGGGGTATATGGGAACTCTTTGTACTTTTTGCTCAATTGTTCTGTAAACCTAAAACTGCTCTAAAAAATAGAGTCCATTAAAAAAAAAAAAAAAACTTAAGCAGAAAAATGTGGTTGCCTGAAGGGAGAAGAGGGTTGGTGAAAATGGACAGAGCCAGGAATTACTGGTTTTCGTCCAAGCTCTTTAGGGCCACTTGACTTTAACCATGTTCATGCATTACTTTATGTATATTTCTATAATAAGACTTTTCAAAATGCAGTGAAATTGAAGATGCCTAATAAAACAAGATGCTGCTCCACTAACCCTACCAGGCACAGCCTGCATCCTTGTGTTAGACTGTTGGGCTGCCATAACAAAGTACCGCAGGCTGGGTGGTTTAAACCAGACACTTATTTCCTCACAGTTCTGGAGGCTGGAAGTCCCAGATCAAGGTGCCAGCAGGGTTGGTTTCTCCAGAGGCCTCTCTGCTTGGCTTGCAATTAGCTGCCTTCTCATGGTGTCCTCACATGGCCATTTCTCTGTGTGCACATACACCCCTGGTGTCTCTTCATCTTCATGAAAGGACACCAATCCTATTGGATTAGGGGCCTACCCTTACGTCCTCTTTTACCCTTGATCACCTCTTTAAAAGCCCTATCTCCAAACACAGTCACCTTGGGGGTTAGGGCTTCGACACAGGAATTTGGGAGTGGGGGACACTCAGTCCACAACAATCCTCACACTCCCTCTGCATTGCAGAGCTGCAGTAAAACCAGCCCTCTGCATGCTTCGCTTTGTACACCATGTGAAATTTTAAAATGTATAGTAAGATGTATAGAACTGATTTAAATAAACCTAGCTTGTTCCCCACATGGTGGTACGATCCTGCAGCGAGACGCACCTAAAGGAGACATGATATCACTATTCTTTGCAGTGAGACGCTGGGTTTTCCTGGGAAGCCCGTCGGCGAGTATGAACACAGCAGATGGAATCAGGGCCCAACAAGGGCTCTGGTCTGCTCACGCAGGAAAGTGGCTGGGTCCAGCTGGCAGATCCTAGAAATGCTTCTTTCCATCCCAATTTGTCTCAGTTGCTTGGGGGTCAACTGTCATAACAAGGACCCATCACATTCAATCAACTAGAGAGAAAAATTTTCTCAAGGGCACTATTACCCAATACTTGGCCGAATCACCGAGCTTCTACGGCTGCAGAAGCTTCAGTGAGGCCCTGTCTCATTAGAGTTGGACTTTAGCCTTGGCAGCCACACATGGCTGCTGCGGAGGACAGCCCAGGCCTGCGGACCCGAGGCACATCAGGGGCTTAGAAGCCCCGTAAGGAAAAGAGGTTTCCTCCCAGGGTCAGATGGATTTTGTTCCAGCTCTGATGATTCTAATTAATTTCAAGGGAGCAGTGACAGCGTGGAGAGGTGGCTTTGTTACTGGGCAGGGCCTCTATTTAAAGACAGGTGGGTGTGCCCAGTGAGGCCCCGTGTGCACTAGCAGTGAAATGCGGCCACCTGGGTCTACAGGACTCCCCCCACACCTCCTGGCCCCAGGAAAGCTTTACCCAGGGTTTGTCCACCTTGGCACTAGTGACACTGGGGCTGGATAATTCTTTGTAGTGGGTGGGCTTCTCTGTGCATTGCAGAGCATAGAGTGGCATCCCAGCCTCCACCCACTAGATGCCAGTGGCACCCCCATCCCCCATTGTGACAACCAAAATGTCTCCAGACAATGTCAAATGTCTCCTGTGGACTTCGGGTAAAATTGTCCCTGGTTGAGAACCACTGCCCAAATTAAAAAGTACTGAAATATTTCTAGGCCAGTTGGTTCACAGCCACTGAGCTGGACACCCCAGGATGTCACTGCTACCGTCATGTGACTTCTAGAACTCCCCTGAGCTCCCCTAAATTCACAACTGGCACAAACTGGTGCCAGTTAATATCTGGCACCCCTCCTTTCACTCTCAGTCCTGGCTGGAGCTTTCAAACAAGAGTGAACCTCTGTGGGTGAATAACACATTACCAGTGTGGAGCACAGAAATCCCATTCCGTGGCCCCCATCTTCAGTATTTTATTGAGCAGGTATTCCGAAGTGCAGACATTCCGGGATCCTGTAAACTTAAAAACGCTGCCGCATAACCTCCATCAGCCCCAGACCCACTCTTCACGGCTGTTGGCCCCAGTGGCTGCTGTGTGGAGGGCACTGAGTCCTCGGGGGCCAGGGTCAGCTGGCAGGGTGTCCACCGAAGGCCCTGATGGCACTCTCTCCACACCACTCTGCCCCGGTGCCTGGCAGCTGACTGTGTCTCACGAAACAAGAGACCTGGAAGAAGCCCAGATGGGCCTGGCTCTGCTACCGACCCCCCTCAACCAGGAGCAGTGTTTGGCCTCCTCAGGTCTCATATCCACATTTGAAAAATAAAGGGAAGCCAAAGGTCCATCAGCTAATGAGGTGACAAGCAAAACGTGGTCTATCAAGACAACAAAAGTTTATTCAGCCATAAAAAGGAATGAAGTACCGACACATTTTCCACATGGAACCTTGAAAACGTGCTGCTCAGCAAAAGAAGCCAGACCCAAAAGGCCACAGAGCGTGTGACTACACTTACACGAAAGGTCTGGAACAGCAAGCCCGCAGAGACAGAGTAGACGAGTGGCTGCCAGGGGCTGTGCTACAGGAGGTGACAGCTAAGGGGTGCGGGGGTCTCTTTCTGGGGTGATGAAAATGTTTTAAAAGTATGGTAATGGATACACAACTCGTTTTCTACTAAAAACCACTGAATTGTACATTTTTAATGGGCGAATTTACAGTATGTGAATTATTTCAATAAAGCTGTAAAATAAATAGATAGATAGATAGATGATAGAATAAACGTAGTGCCCCACGTGCTAGACAAAGTCCCACTCACCATCCAGATGCTAAGACCCTGGTGACGAGAACATAAGGCGGGTGAAAGAATTCTCTCAGTGACCACTCTCAGAAAGCATCACTGCAACATGAAGGGCAAGGGAACAGCAGAAGGACATTTAAAGAAACGAGCATGTGCAAGTGTTGAGATTTCAACTGACCTTTCAAGTAAAAAAGGAATAATTATAAGGCCAGCAGCTTATACCTATTAAATGCCGCTAAGAAAGCCATGATCAGAAGAGAAATCAAAGCAGGTGTGAGAAGTTCCGTGCACACAGGCAGAGCACCGCAAGGCGTGCTCACCTCAGGTAGGGAAGGGCTCTGCTGCTGCCAACTAGCGGACAGTCGCTCAGCTTAAACCGCTCTTTCGTCCTCTGACATTTACTTTCCACCAGAAAGCCTAGTTCAGGATGTTCCCCTCTAGAGTGCCCGTCTTGGGTAACACCACTTAAACTGGATTATGTCCATGTTTCCTAGTAGATGACAAGCTCCTTGGCTTTTTTTAAAAACACGTTTTGAACCCTCTCCAGTTCTCAGTCAAAATAGATGCTCTGTAAGATGTTGATTAAACCAATGTCACTTTGAAAAAAATATGACTTGTTAGTGTTTGCAAAGTGATGAGAGTGCTACTGAAACACACACACACACACACACACACACACACCCCTCCCGTATGTATAAAACCTGGGTTTTGTTTCCTTATCTTCACCCTGGAGATAGTATCAAAAGATCAGGCATTTGCAGTTCTGAAAATCTGCTCTAAAAGCTCTGTGACTATAATGTCTAAAAGTTAAGTTGGTTACACTGGCACTGGGGAAATACAAATTCAGGAGCTGCCTTGGGTTCATGCATAAATTGTGCCCTGGCCTGCGACAGTAATTATCACAAAAGAAGAAAGCCGAACATCAACCCAGAAGGAGGCAACATCAAATCCAGAAGGCTTCGTTAGTGGCATGAAATGTCCTATTTGATTTAAATCAAGTGTTTGAACTTCCAGCCCCTCTGGGTAGCAGTTTGAGTGAATCCACTGAATTATAAACAGTGAGATCTATGACCAGGAACATAATTCAGATTCGAACAGCTGGGGCTCTTCTGAGAAAGCTACTGGGCCCAGGCCCCTGTGGACCACCTAGTAGCACTTGGGGGAAATCTGACACCGTCTCTCCTACTCACTTTTCCTTTCTAGAACCTTCATAGGGAAAATCTCACCCAAATTCACTCTTAGCCACGGGAGACTTCCTAGACTCCAGCATTCTGGGGACAAAGAATTCTCTGGTTCCTGGTCTAGGCTTACGATCATCCTGGACCCCAGGCCCCGAGAAACCCTGCAGATGATCCCGGTCATCAGGACGAGCCCAGGCTCTAGGCCACCTCGAGCAAGGAAGGCACATGGCGAGAGAACACATCAAAAAAGCAAGCTGGCTGGAGACACGCCTGCCCTGGCAAAAAGTCAAAGGAGATGAAAGGCCCCACAAATGAGGATCCCTTGCCAGCACTAACGTATCAGCATCTGTGTTTGTTTAAAAGATGCAGAGCAAGAAAGTGCGATTTTGCTTTCTCGAAGAACATTCGGAGCCAATTTAAGCACCCAGATCTTCACAAGAAGATCTCATGGGGCTCTGTGAGGTGTGAGTGGGCATTAAGGACAGAATTTCCTGCCTGAACTGGAAATTTCAATGATAAGTGACATGGGGTTGTTGTTTTAAAGGAAAGGAGAAACTGCTATACACATGAGATGGCACAGGCGGTCACAGTGGTATTTATGGCAGGTACTGGAAACACAAATGCATAAATCGACTTCAGTGGTTCCCAAAGTGGGGTCCCCAGACCAGCAGCATCACCTGGGAGCTTGTTAGAAATGCACATCTTGGGCCTCACCCCAGACCTCAGCAACTAGTAGCTCTGTGGTGGGGTCCAGAAATCTGGATTTAACCTGGAGGTTTAATCCTCCGGGACATTTTGATGCATGCTCAAGTTTGAGAAGCCATTTGAGCTCCTTTAAAAGTCACCAGCAGAAATGACCTCTAACCTCAAACACAAGGACTCATTTATTTGTTCCCTACTGATTGCACCTCCCATGTGTGAGATACCCCTCTGGCTGCAGTCAGAGCTAAGGAGGACACTCGTCCTGCCAGCCAGGCTCTCTGGGTAAATGTGCAAATACAGTGCCTTGCAGACCCTGTACCCCTGCGTCCCTGTTACCAGGACAGCAGGAAGAAAGCTGAATGAACAGGATTGTTCATTTAGCTATACACGGACATCTAGTCCGGGGCCACTCAACTGCAGCACTGGTGACATTCTGGGCCTGATGTTTTGTGATGGAGACTGTCCTGTGCACTGCAGGACATTTAGCAGCATCCTGGTCTCTGCCAACTAGATGCCAGGAGCACCCACCCTCCAGTTACGACACACAAAATTGTCTCCAGACATTGTCCAATGTCTCTGGGAAGTAAAACCACCCTGAGGGAAAACCACTGGGTTAAACTAGAGTGTGCTGGCTCTGGAAATGTAAACGATGTTAGATAGTTAAGCCTCTGGAGTCTATAAAGGCCTAAACTGTATGGGTTACCGATGTCTCCAAAACCCATTCCCCATTTCTTACCCCCAGTCCATAAAGGAATAACATGGGCAGATAACCCTAGGTTCCAGGCTACCCTGACTGAGCCAATCCCTTTACTACCCAAGCTTCTGAGGCTGTGGAACTTAGGACATGCCTCAGAGCCCAAAGAATGGCCTTCAGGGACCTGCACTCTGGTGCTGTCATGGACCCTTGATCATTGCATTGCTGGTTTCCTGGTTTGTGATAACACGAAGCATAAGGAATATAGTGGCGGTAGAGACAATGCCATAGTGTCATCAAATCTCTCAGTTCTCAGCTGGGTGCAGTGGCTCACGCCTATAATCCTAGCACTCTGGGAGGCCGAGGCGGGAGGATCACTTGAAGTCAGGAGTTCGAGACCAGCCTGAGCAAGAGTGAGACTTCGTCTCTACCAAAAATAGAAAAATTAGCCAGGTGTCGTGGTGCGCATGCTTGTAGTCCCAGATACTCCAGAGGCTGAGGCAGGAGGATCGCTTGAGCCCAGGAGTTTGAGGTTGCTGTGAGCTATGATGACACCACCGCACTCTAGCCGGAGCAACAGAGCAAGACTCTGTTTCAAAAAACAAAAATCTCTCAGTTCTCCAATAATGTTTGTTTAGAAAACATGAAGTTGTTTCAAACAGATTGCTATATTAAGGAACATTATGAAGTTAATATGAATTTCGCCTTTGCTTATGCATTGCATCCATAAGAAACTCTAGGTGAATGCAGAAAACTGTACCCAGGAGAACCCAGTGGCATCAGAATACACAAAATGCACACATGTACACCCCCAAACATCCATGAGCTCCCTCAGTTCACACATGTGTGAGCAGCCACATCCGTCCACACCTGCGGTGACAACTTTCTCTCCGATTTCAGAGAACCCTCCTTCCAGGCCTTCCCCGTAACTCACACACTGCAGCCCTGCGGACGCCCACACCACAGCCAACCTTGGGCCTTTTCAAGATAAAGTGATATATATTTATTGTCGTGTTCATGTATTTCTTAGCCATCTAGCACATGTAAAATGGCACTACCATTCTTATTAGGTTCCCATCTCTTTTTTTTAAATGTAACACTGAGGAAGTTTTTGAGTGTTGTGCACTTAACCCCATTTTTCCCAGAAGTCCTGTGGTTTGCATTGCTCATTTTTGCATAGTGCTGTGATTTTGAGGAATGCATCTAGCATGTTATAGGAAGACTGGCTGTATCTTGTCCCTGAGCCAAGTACCGTCTGGGTGGTAGAAAAGGAATGTCAAACCCTTCTCTGGCCCCTCTTTTGACTCAAGTGTCCCAGCCCAGACAGCAGTCCAGCCTGGAAGCCTCTCCCCCTTCCCAGGCTGCACCGCTGCCATGTTTTTGGTCCAAAGCTTCCTGTATATTTCCTTCTCGACACATTCACCACAACTTACTGACATCATCTGTCAAGGATTGGTCCACCCAGCAGACCTCAAGCTCCCTAAGGGCTAAGACCGTGTCTTCTTCGTCTTTTTCTCCTCTGAGTCGCCGCAGTACACATTCTAGCCACACTGCCCAGCTACTCACCCGCTCCGTGTCACCAGGCACTGCCGGAGCCCCAGCTTCCGGAAGATGTCCACCACCGTCTCCATGGGGGTGTGGTCTGTCACCGTGAAAGGGCTGAGGTTCAGGATGCGCCGCAGCTTCAGGGGGTGTGGGCTATTGGCCGGCAGCTCGGGGGGCTCCTCCGTGAAGTACATGATGGAATTGCTCACGATGCCCTCCTGCCTCTGTCTGGCGTTCTCTAGAACAGGGTGAGCAGGAACAATGAGCCACACAAAGTCCCTTGCTGAGCAACTCCCCCCATCCCCCCACACAGCATCTAAAATCCCACAGAAGAGGGGTTCGGAGGACAAACCGCACATTCTTAATGAGGGGCTTCAGCCAAACATCTGTGAAATTGGCATCTGTCTTCGGCTAACGCCGTGCAAGAGTCCCCCTGCTGTGGTCAGATCATGTGTTGCTAAATCTTGCAAGATGGGCCTGACCAAGATGGTCCTTTGGGGCCCCTCCCTGCCTCGCCTGGACTCCAGGGCACCCACACAGCCCAGGGCCTCCGCCCGTGCTTTCCTAGCACTCTTTCACCTCATCACCTCATCACAGGCTGGAGTCTGACGGGACAAGAAACCCACTTAGCTACTCAGTGACCTTAATCCATTGTTTTTCTTTTTACAAACTAACTTCTAACTGGCCCAAATGGTATTATGAATCCTGAGAGGAATAAGAAACCAATACGACCAGCCCCAGCTCACAGCCCAGAAATGCAGCTCGATCCCAAATATGACCCTTGAGAGTGAAGAAACGTCCCCAGAAAAGCTGCACCCCCACTCCCTGGATCTCCGGCCTTAAAAATGGGCCATTTTGTGGATGTCTCAAAGAAAGATAGTAAAACTGTTATGGTAGCAATTAGCCTATTTCTGTCTGTCGAAAAGGCCATGTGAAAGAAAGCTTAAGAAAAGTAGGGTAACAGGAACTCATTAGAAATCCAGCTTAGCACAGTGCTAGAAACCCAGGCTATTTTAAGTCACACATGAAATAAATCCATCGGTCTCAAGATATTTCTCCAAGGCGATTTTCCTTCTGTTGGAATTTTAATCTTTTTTTTGGTTCATGGGAAAAGGTTAGGAAAAATGTACAGCAAAACTTGCCTGAAAATGGATCCTGGTTTCATATAATATATTTCTTGCCTTCTCAAAGACTACTATTCACCTATATCATTCTTTCAAAAATAAAATTCTGACTACCGCCTCTAAGGCCATTAAGTGCAATAGAGTCCTCTAATGGAAAACTGGTGGCATTTGGGGTCAGGCTAAGTCTGAAAAAGGGTCTCTGTTTATAAGAGGAACGGAGGGCCTACTGGGCAAATCTGTACATTATATGGGTCAGGTTAAATCCACTTACATCAAATGGGATATGATTCAACCACAAATACCAGATGACACTGATGCACAACATGTTTTCAAATGTGGATTCTGCGTGATATCCACTGTGCACTTCTCTCCTAAACCAAGATGGTTCTGTCCTTAAGCACTAAGGCAGGGAGGCAACAGTCGCCACATACTTATTTGCTCATTTTCATAGACCGATTAATTCTCTTAAAGTCCCATATAATAGGATTTCTATCCATTTCAACAATCAGATTGAATGTCAAGATTGGATCAAGCCACAAACCCTAATCAAGAGAACTGAACACATGGATTTGCTGAACCCCTTATAAAACCAAATACAACTTAGTAAACCATCAATCCACTTGCTAAAATAAATAACAAGTTTGCATTTCCCCTGAACCTACTGATTGGGTTAGCCCTGATTCTAACTACCGCTAGCTCAATGAACTCTTGCTCACCAGTGCATTCCCGGTGCCTGGACAATGCCTAGCACACAACAGACACAAAACAGATATTTGCAAATACACACATGAATGAATGAATGAGTAGGTCTACTAAATGTCAGCATATCTGGTTCTGTCTGCCATGTAGAACAGAGCCTATTTCACTTAGGCATTAGGACGGAAAGCCCATGAGCTATTCATTGCCAAGCAAGAACCACAGGCATCAGCTGGGGTCAGAGCTGGAGACCTCAGTTGTTGCTCCTGGCAACTGCTGCTCTCCTCAGAGGGGCTCTGCTAGGCCACTTTGGAACTCTATTGTACAGACACACATTAAGGCTTCAAACTTTGGAAGTGGAGGTGCTATGTACAAGCCAAAAGCTGATGAATGGAAGAAGAACCAGCAAGAAAGCTATTTGCAACTCTCTACTAGGGTGAACCATCTACTCCCAGTTTGGACCAGAAATCTTCATCAGTCACTAAAATACCTGCAACAAAACTATTGCAGGTAAGTTCGCAGAGGGCAGAGATAGCGTACTGTCATCCCTGGGCTCCCAGGTCCCAGGATGGCACCAGCACATGGTGAATGCTGAAGAAATACTTTCTGTTTGAAAGAATAAACCAACTAACTCCTCACCCATGGGATGAGCCAGTGCTGTGAGAGAACAGACTCACAGACCCCAGGAACACCTGGAAGCCTGTGTTGGAAAAGAAACCAAAACAATACAGCCCCAAATGCACCTTTTTAAAAGACCTAAAAGACAAAAAGGAAATACACTAAATATTAACCATGGTCTTCTACACTGATGAGAATGTGGGTGCTTTTTTTATTTTTCCTTTTGCTTCTGATTTCCCCAATATTCTATGAGTGTGTGTTATTTTTACTTTTACTTTAAAAAATGTAATAAACTTCATTTTTAAATGTTTTAAAAGTAGTTAAACTGTTTTAAAACTGTCTTTAATGTAGGAGGTTTGTCATGTATTCTATTATAACTGGTCTCAATGGCCACAGCTGCTGAAAAATAATGTAGATTTTATGAGCACCTGCTAAGGTTATTCAACTTGACATTTCACTTCCCAGCAGTCATATGTTCATAATGTCAAACACAGAGAGAGTAATTAATATAGTGCTGGTAAGAGGAATTTCACAAACTATGATAGGCCGAGAAATTTTAAATGATTGGAAATAATCACATATCCCATAAGCTACTGAGTAGCTTTAGAACAATGGTTCTTAACTGGGAGCAATTCTGCCCCCACCCTTGGGGGGACATTTGGCAATGTCTGGGGACATTTTTGGTTGTCCCAGTAGGGAAGGGTAAGTGCTCCTGACATCTAGTGGGTGGGACCCAGGGATGCTGCTCAACACCCTATAGTGCACAGGACAGCCCCCACCACAAAGAATGACTCAGCCCAAAATGTTAATAGTGCTGAGGTTGAGAACTCCTACTTTAGAGTAATTATGTCTTTACGGAGGTAATACGCTATCATCCTGTTAACTAAAAATGCTTCCATAAGACAGATGTAGTAAACGAGCAAAGTTAAAACGGAAAATTGGAAGCAATCACAGTAGTGGTTAATATGAAGATAATATGATAAAAAAGTAAAGACTATATAGAAGAAAGAGCAGATTATTTTTTGACAAGTTATTGTCTACTAAAGCATGGGGAAGTCCCTCTGCATATATATTTACATACATTTTAACATCCCCAGCAGAATAGAACAGATGACACCACTGTTCTCCACGACCTAGTCCAATAATTAACAGCCCTCCCAGGCAGAAACCTCTTAGTCCCTAAATAGCTCATCTGACAGAACTGACACTTTTCTTCATGTTCAGTCTTGGTTGTAGATCCCTTTCTGCAAGTAAGCATCTTCCACATGCTGGAGAATCATTATTAAGTCATCCACCAGACAAAAAAAAACCTGTGAGTTCCCTTAACTCTTCCCCGAAACTCTAACTTTCCTCCCTTTAATCATCTCTTCGGCTCCCCACTGAGTCCTCTCTGAACCTCTACTGGCTTAACGGAAGAACTTAAAACAAGAGCCTGAGCACTGCTGAGTACAGAAGGACCCTGGCATTTTCAAAGAGCAACGTGAACGCCCATCCAGGAACCAGGAACCAGGAACCCACGCGGCCCCATGTGCTATCTGTAAGGGCCAAGAGGGCCGCACTGCCTAGGTGGGGCTCTTTAACCAAGACAACGGCTACGTTTTGACATTCCAGTGATGGATTGAAAATAAAACATTTTCAGCTTCATGTGAGCAGTTGCTACAATTTTAAACATGATGTGTAAGAAAAATCCTTATTTACCTCACTTACCATTCTTTTCTTATCCACACTATCTTGGATCTATTTATAATCTTTGCTCCCAGTTCCCTTAAAAAGTGAAATTGGCATGGGATAGTTTCTAGCTAAATGCTGTCATGTTTCTATATTCATAAAATGGCATAAAATTCCTCAAATGCAAGTCATGAATTTCTCCACCAGAGTACAAGGACCCTTCTCTTTCCACAGACGAGGAAAACAGCTTTTTTGATTCCTCAGAGCAAAACACTCCTTGCCTTTCTACAAATCACACAAATAGCAGCTTCTATACTATTATCGGTCTGATTGAAAGTATATAGGTATTATTTACACTGCATGGTGCCTCTTCAGACATTCCAAACATAGCTTCTAGGAGAGTGCTCGGCTGGCAAGCTTCAATTTCTTCTCTAACCAGTTGATGACAATTACTGCTTCCCACTTGATTACAGTAATGGGTTTCAGCAAAATTAGTAAGCTGTCTCTTAGCAGGTGTGCCTGGAGCTATACAATAGATAATGGATTCTGTGACATTTATTACTTTAGTTTTTAAATTTCAACCTTTGCTTAAAAGATTCTAGGGATTGAATAAATTTTTTAAAGGCTGCTGATTACACTATTTTAAAACAAACCCAACCCCACTTAAACAACTTAAAAAAACTCATTATTTATAAGGCAATATTTACACCTAAAGGCACCTACCTGTTAAGCAACAGGACCTATAATAAAAAGAAGCATCACTGAACACTTAAACACAAACTTGCTATGGTGTCTAAAATATTAAATCAATTTTTGCTTTGAGGGAGGTAAAAATGAGTGTCAAGCTAAAATTGCAGAACATAGCTTATCTATACATTTATTTTTATAAAGCCTTTGATCGAGATACTTTAAAGATATTTCAAAAGCCATTTAACATTGGCAAGAGGTTTTAGAAATTGAAGGGAGGTGCCTTAGACACGAGAAACAAAGAGCAGGAAGAAGCAAGCAGTTGTCTGGTGAAGATGTGTTCACGTGGGGCATTCCACAGTCAGACTGGGGAAGGTCCCACTGACAAGCTTCATGAATACTCTGGAAGATGGAATGTGTAGCAAAGTCATCATGTGCATACATGAGCCATGCCATAGGCACTGGTCTGCCACTGGATGCTGGGATGTTGTGAAGATCGTGGAGCAAGGATGCAGAGCGGGATGGCATTTGCGTCTGCCATGTGCCAGTGGATGGGCTATGCCGGTCCCTGCCCCTGCTGCATCTTGAGGTCCAACAGGATCTCACCCTCTGAGGATCACTGCTCCTCCTTGCCTAGGGCTCCCAAGACTCACACTCAGGCCTCTGGCCCTCAGCCCCTCTGTCTTTGGAATCCTCCTACCTCCCGCTGCTACCCTTCAAGGCAGGGCAGCCATCCCTAGGCTGATGGGGCCCGCGGGCTTGCTTCTCTGAGCCACCTGTCTTTGGGGTCCCCTGCCTGGGCAGCATCTCCTCCTCTCCTCCTGCAACTCAGCAGCCTGCCCCCCATGCAGCTGGCTGTAATTCAGACACAAGGAAAGAAGTCATCACCCACTACTGACTTCTAGCGATGGCTGCTCATTCACCCATGTGAGCCTCTAACTGGCAGAATCAGACATGATGTCAGAAAGTGAAGCAGAAGACTCGCACGGTGGCAAGGGATTGTCTGGGCAGAGCCTGGTAATCTTGGCCAGGTGATTAGTCTGCCTGAAAGTCTCTCTGAGACCTGCTGAGCCCAGACAACTCCAGGGTCTCACACCTTCTCTCCCTTCTTAGCTTCATTCAATAATTCCCTAAATAGGCAGTGGCAGCAGCTCACCTCCTAGAGCAGGGGTCCCCAATCTATGGTGAGTTGTATAATTATTTCATTATATATTACAAGTAATAATAATAGAAATAAAGTGCACAATAAATGTAATGTGCTTGAATCATCCCGAAACCAGTCCCCGCACCTCCGGTCCATAGAAAAATTACCTTCCATGAAAACGGTCCCAGGTACCAAAAAGGTTGGGGACCACTGCTCTAGACGGAGTGGGGCCCAGGTGGCTGCTTGCAAATATGCACTTTCCAGCCAGCAATGTCTACCCCAAGACTTGGTTAAACCCTGTCCCTTGGTGTGACTTGGGGACAAGTGGCACCAGCACACGTGGGGAGCTCCTGAGAAACGCAGGGTCTCAGGTCCCAGCCCAGACCTGCTCAACCAGAATCTGCATTTTAACCAGACCCCAGGGCAGCAGAGATACATTAAAGCTTGACGGACATTCTCGTGAACCTCTTGGGTGATTTCAGGGGTACAAAGGCTGCCACTCGTCTCTCAGGAAAGCCTGAGCACCCCACTCTTTACTCACTTATCGCAAGGATCAGCTCCCTCCTCTGCGCAAACCCGATGAGGCGCTCGGAGTCTCTGGAGACCACCACGGGGAAGCCGTTGTAGTCGGTCTCCTTGATGAGCGTCTCCACGTCCTCGACCGTCATGCTGTCCTGGGTGAGCACCGACAGTGGCGGCTCTCCTCGCCGGGGCCGCATGACGTCAGTGGCCAGCGTGCGGTGCGTGAACTCGTCCTTCACGTCGAGAAACGGGTACCCATTTAAGTGGATGTGGGCCTCGTAGATACCTTCTTTCCCAAAGGCATCTGCCACCCACTTGCTGGTCACGGCCGCCGCCATCAGGGGCACGATGTACTCTAGACCACCCGTTAATTCAAACATGATGACCACCAACGACACCGTCATCCTGGTAACTCCACCTGCAAGGGAAGAGAACAGTGGGATTCTGAAACACAGCCCTGGCCCCTCAGGAGGGCAGGATTTAAGGACACTGACAGGCGGGCTGTAAATTCTCCTCACACTAGTTCCAAGGAGACAGTCCCACATGCTGACCGCGCTGGGCCTCTGTAACTGTGGCCAGGCTCTGTTAGATGCGGCTTTGAGTCAGGGAGCTGTAAGTCGCACATGACTGGGGACTCTGCGCCAGTGAGGCCCCTGGGCCGTCTATTCGCCCAGGCCCACACGCCTTGCTTTTTGGCAAGTAGATCCTACGTGGGCTCTGCAGGCTTCTGACTGAGCGAGCATGGCGCTTTCCCAAAACCCTACACTCCGGAAAATTATAGGGATGTTTAGGAACTATAGACAGGAGAGGGACCCACCTTTGTGTCCCTGAATGGGTGGAGAAGAGCCTTCTGCTAATCCATGTTTTTTATTTACAGACAGCCCCTGACTTACAATGGTTCAACCTATAATTTTTGGACTTTATGGTGATGCAAAAGCCATACACATTCAGTAGAATCCTTACTTCAAGTACCCATACAACCATTCTGGTTTTTACTTTCAGTACAGTATTTGACAGATTACATGAGATATCCAACACTTTAACATAAAATAGGCTTTGTGTTAGGTGATTGTGCCCAACTACAGGATAATGTAAGTGTTGCAAGCACATTTAAGGTAGGCTGGGCTAAGCTATGATGTTTAGTAGGTTAGATGTATTCAATGCATTTTTTACTTTGTGTATTTTCAACTTCTAATGGATTTATTAGGGTGTAACCCCACTGTAAGTCCAAGAGCACCTCTTTCTCTCTCTCTCTCTCTCTCTCTCTCCCCCTATATATATATATATATATATATGTGTGTGTGTCATTAAATATGAAATGTCCAATTTCAAATCAAAAGTTTATTATATCTCAAACAAGAAGCAGTATAATTAATCAAATTACATCCCTAAACCAGCAATAAAATTTTGCCATCTTAACAGAAGCCCGGAAAGTGAGTGGTGATGAAATCGTGAGAGGTGTTTTCCACAGCTTGTTGAGAATTGAATATTTCCTTGCAAGAAGTGGTTCAAAGCCTGGAAGAAGTGGTAGTCAGTTGGTGGAAGGTCTGGTGAATATGATGGATGGCAGAGAGTTTCCAAGTCCAGTCTCTGTAGTTTGAGCAGCGTTGTTTGTGTGGTCAAGCATTGTTTTGCAAGAAGATTAGCCTGTCTCTATTGACCAATCTTGGCTGCTTAATCACAAGCATACAACTGGTTGCAGTAGACATCCACTGTAATTGACTGATCAGGTTTCATGAAGCTCTAGTGGGTAATACCAGGACTGGACCACCAAATAGATACCATTAGCTTTTTTTGATGAATATTCGGTTTTGGACTATGTTTCAGCACTTCCTCTTTATCCAGCCATTGTGCTGAATGCTTGTGATTGTCAAACAGAATCCATTTTTCATCATACGTAACAATATGGTATAGAAATGGTTTGCCTTTATGTCATGACAGCAAAGAAAGGCAAGCTTCAAGACAATTTCCTTTGTGACGCTTGTTTAATTCATGAGGTACCCATCTATCCAGCTTCTTTACCTTGCTGATTTGTTTTAAATGGTCCAATATTGCTGGAATAGTAACGTCAAACCTTGCTGCTAATTCACACGTAGGTTGAGATGGATTTGCTTCCACTACAGCTTTCAGCTCATCATTATCCACTATCCATTATCCATTACCTTGGTCTCAGATCACCCACTTGGCTCATTTTCAAGATTAAAATCACCAGAACAGACCTTCTCAAACCATCAACATACTGTGCGTTCATCAGCCACATCCTTCCCAAACACTTCGTTGATATTTTGGACTGTCTGCGCAGCATTAGTTCCAGGATGGAACTCATATTTGAAAATAACAGAAATTTTTGACTTATCCATGATTTCACAAAAATGGCTCTAAAAAAAATTTTGAAAGATAATCACAAGACAAACTGTGCATTTGAAAGAATGAGGATGTACTTTCACAATAAAAATAAAACAAGAAGTGTCAAAGTGAAATGTCAGACATAACTGTCAAACTTAGTACTTAAGGAAATTAGACATTTCATACTTAATAATTACATATTATTTTATATATATATATATATATATATATATATAGAGAGAGAGAGAGAGAGAGAGAGAGAGAGAGAGAGAAAACAAGCTGTAAGCCTTGATGTGTTAAGCCACTGAAATTTAGGGGTCTACTTGTTACAGCAGCAGCACAACCTAGCCTATCCTGAGTAATGCACACGTTCAAGTTCACGTCTTCCTTCTTCCCAGTCCTCTGAGCCAGATCAGCACCCCCGACTCCCTACCTGGCCCCACCTGTGGGCATACCTAGGCAGGCTGCGGCTCCCACCATGGCGTAAAGTCCTGGCGTGACACAGTCTGCCCCAGGTCTGCACCAGTTCCTGAAGATGATCCAGTCGTGGTGATGGTAAGCCAGCTGCTCCACGCCGATTCCCACCATCCTGCCCGCCATCGCTCCCACGGCCATGCTGGGGATGAAGAGGCCCGACGGGATCTTGAGGCACACAGAGAAAAGCAGTGTGAGGGACGGAGGCCAGGTTCCCGCTTCACAACCCCCGGGAAACACAGTCCCCCTCGACAAGCTTGCATATTGCTTTGGTCTTCAAAGGAGGCACAACTCTGCAAAATAGGTCAGCTGGGAAAAGGTAGGCCAAGCGATCCAACCTGCTTAGTCAGTCATATCTACTGCAACTTGGACAGAATGCAATTTTACACTTTCATTCCCTCTCCTTCAAAAGCTGGCCCGTTTGCCTGCTGTGGATTAAAGAATGATAAGCCCCACCGCAAATCACATTCAAAGTGAGCATCTGTCACTTGAGACACCACTTTCTCTCTCCCCTTGCCATGTCATTCAGACTGGCTTTTGAAATTAAATGTCAAGCCACAGCATGAAATGGAAAAGAAGGACCTGCGACTGCTCCCAGGTAAAATAAAGAAGCTAAATGTGTCACCACGGCTGCCCTGGATCTTGCAGAAAGCTCTTCAAGGGCTCCCCGCCCTCTGTAGTAGGCGGTGGCCAAACACCTATCAGAGAGAGACGAGGGAGGCAATTCCCTCTTCCTAAAAAAGTGCATTTCCCAAGAAATATTCTGAATATTTTCAAGCCAGGGTAGGGGGGGCAAAGAAATAGACGATGTAATCTAAAAGATCTTGGTAGTAGTGTGTTTTCTATTTTGCTGAATGAAAATACATTTTCGTCTATCTAGTGATCACACATGTACTGTAGAACATGGCTGACGCCCTTGTTCACTGAGATTACCTGTGACCACTGATGCTGAGCAGCTGCACTTACACCTGCCCGGCTGGTCACCCATCTGAGGGTGGAAGCAGATCTTTAGCCTAATTCAAGTTAAGTTTAGGTCCTCGCGTGTGATTTCTATAGTTTAGAACATTCCTTAGGACACTGTTTCTTTCTGAGTTTCCCCTCATTCCACAGTCATTTAAACCCCTGTAACTCCAAAGTAGACTTCTCTCAGCAAGCACCAAAAGATGCTTCTAGCATCTTCCTCAGACACGAGAATAAATCCCTGTGCTAGGAGATGATGGGTCAGAGACAGTCAACTGTTTCGTAAGTCCACACATCCTTGTTCTTAAGGTACAAATTCAGGTTTGTGTTTCACCACTACACACTAAGGTGCACCATTTCTTAGACTTTCTTAAAAGAGGAAATTCATAGAAATACCACACAAAAGCAACACGAATGGAACACAACAGGGGGCTCTGGGGGTGGGCAATGTTCTGCTTCTGGTCCTGGGCGCTGGTTACACAAGTGTATGTGTTTTGCTCAAATTCATCGAGCTGTACACATGTCTGCGTGAATGATATACTCTAATAAAATTTTTTGAAAGTGAGCAATAATAGCACTATTCGTAATAGCCAAAAGGTAGAAATAGCCCAAATGTCAAAGGATGAGTGGATAAACAAAGTGGGAGACAGCCACAGAATGACATACTATTTAGCCATAAAAATGAATGAAGTACTCCCACATGCTACAATGTGGATGAACCCTGAAAACACTGTGCTATGAAAAAAGCCAGTCACAAAAGGCCACATGTTACATGATTCCATTTATGTGAAGTACCCAAAATGGGCAAATCCATAAAAACAGAGCAGATCAGTGGTTGTCAGGGGCTGGGGGAGGGGAGAAGCCAAGTGACTGCTAATGGGGAGGGATCTCCTTTCGGGGGGATGAGAAAGTTCTAACACTAGATAGAGGTATTGGCTGCACAACATTATGACTGTAGGTAATGCCACTGCATTGTATACTTTAAAATGCTCAATTTTATGTTTTTGTGAATTTTACCTCAATTTTTTTAAAAAGTAATAACTTAATGCCAGTTTCCATAAAAGAAAGCTCTTTAGGAAGGGTCTATAATGTCTGCACTGATTTTAACACAGTGTTTAGAAGAAGAAAGACGCTGTCTCTTGTCTGGCTTTAGGAACAAGAGTAATGAAAGCACGCGCTATCATCCACAGCACTCAAGGACACCGCACCGAGAGAGGATGTGTGCAAAGAGTCCCCACTGTGCTCAGCCCAACCAAGACTGGGATGTGCTCACTCTGTGCTGCCACCGGGCCAGGGTAGCGCGCAGGGCACTCACCACACGCTCAGTCTCAGAACTCTGGCTTTGCAGCTATCTCACAGAGCGTGTGCTCTTGAAGGGCAGCATTCTCTTTTGGATTCTGAATCCCTCGGACTTAGCACAGTGCCTAAGATACAGCTGATGCTCAGCACACGTTACAGATCCAAACTGGGCCACATCTGGGCTGTTTCCACCACCTGGCATCACCCAGCCAGAAGGCAAACCTGTGGCTACCACCCCTTCTGGGAATGTGATGAAGTGGGGTTGATGCCAGCTCTGTCTCCCATGGGCTGTGGGTCTGATCAAGCCACTCCAGGTCTCTGAGCCTTACCTTCTCCACTTATAAAATGCGATTAGAATCTCTGTTTCATAAGCTTATTGTTTATTAAAAGAGTTGATTCCTGTTGGCTAAAAGAATGCCAAGTGCCCAGCACATGAGAACATCCAAGAAAGGTCAGTTCTCCTTTTCTTCCCATTACAATTTTATTTTAGAGAGTAGGTGCTGTGCCCAGAAGGACATGGGTCCCAACCCCATCTTCCTTCCCTTTCACTTACCTTCATGCCAAAGGTAAATATGGTAACGACGATTTTGAAGATCAGCGCCAAGGCCAGCTGCCACATGGCCGTGTAAACCCCGACCCCGGCCGGCCGGTCTGGAATGTCATCCACAGGTCGAGTCATGTTGGGGTCGTTGATGTAGTCACAGAGCTGGGAGGACTCAAGGGCCCCACAGTCATTGAACAGCTCGGAAATGAGCTCGCTTGTGCTCTGGCGTGTGTAGGGATTCGGGTAGGCGATGATGGCAGTGATGGCAGTCACCACGATGACCTCCAGCACCGGGTACTTCCCCAGCCTGGTGGTCTTGCGCCTCCTGCACCAGGCGATGTTGCAGCGGATGAAGAGGGTTCCCCACAAGCCCCCGAAGACTCCAAGCAGGATGAAGGGGAAGAGTTCAGCCATGTACCAGGGTGTGTGATATTCCACGTAAAAGAGAACAAGTCGGCTATTCCCAAAGGGATTGATGGATCGCAGTGTAAAGGCTGCCACCAGGGCCGCGAAAAACGACCTCCACAAGGTCTTCAAGGGAAAGTAGTAACTGACCTGGGACAAATAAGTAGAAAATGAGAGGCTGGCCAGACAAAGAGCTACTCAGAGCCCAGCCCCTTGGGTCGGCAGCCACCTACCGGCGCTTGGCATGAAAGACACACTCTAAGACCAAGAGTGGACACACTGACTCCTTCAGCCTGGGTTTAATATGACCAAGATGCACCAACAAAGATATTTAAAGGAATCTATGCCTAGAAGTGGAATGAATACTAATCAAGGTAGGTTTGAGCTATGCTTTTTTTTTTTTTTTTTTTGAGACGGAGTCTCGCTTTGTTGCCCCGGCTAGAGTGAGTGCCGTGGCGTCAGCCTAGCTCATGGCAGCCTCAAACTCCTGGGCTCAAGCAATCCTTCTGCCTCAGCCTCCCGAGTAGCTGGGACTACAGGCATGCACCACCATGCCCAGCTAATTTTTTCTATATATATATTTTTAGTTGTCCAGATCATTTCTTTCTATTTTTTAGTAGAGACGGGGTCTCGCTCTTGCTCAGGCTGGTCTCAAACTCCTGACCTTGAGCGATCCACCCACCTCGGCCTCCCAGAGAGCTAGGATTACAGGCGTGAGCCACCGCGCCCGGCCTGAGCTATGTTTTTAAGAGGAATAAATACATGTAATCATAATTCTGTTCACGGCACAGACTCTTCTAAAAGCAAATAAACCTCTGGATTTGATTCTACAGACAACAGAATAGATCGGGGTTTCAAAACTCTGGCCCACAGGTCAACTCCAGCCTAGCAAATGTATTTTTACAGTATGATGAGTTAAGAATTTTTTTTTACATTTTTAAATGGTTGGAAAAGGAAAAAAATTCTTTTGACTTGAAATATTCAAAAGAAGAACAATATTTTGTGACATGTAAAAACTACATAAAATTCAAGTTTCAGCATCCATAAGGAAAGTTCTATGGGAACATAGGCCATGCCTATTCGTGTACATGTTGTCCATGGCTGCTTTCATACTACAATGGTAGAGTTGAGGGTTGCAACAGAAATTGTGTGGCCCACAGGACCTAAAACATTTACTACCTAGCCTTTTAGAAAACGTTTGCCAGCCCCTAGAATGATCCACCTGCGTTACCAAAACCAAAAATGCTTACTTAAGTTGGTTATGAAAAAGAGAAGGAATACTGGAAATCTTCCCCAAAAGCTATACTGGCAAGTTTTAAAACAATACTTGAAAACAGATATAGCTGGGCATGGTGGCCCATGCTTGTAATCCCAGCAACTCGGGAGGCTGAGGCAGGAGGAGTGCTTGAAGCCAGGAGTTTGAGACCGGCCTGGGCAACACAGCGAGACCCCATCTCAAAAACGACAAAAAAGAAAAAGAAAATAGATCTCTAACAGTGGAAATTGTGGCTCTTTAACTAACCATAGGAATCTTATTCAATACTTCTTTGACTCTAATTCTCAAAGGGCAGGAGATGAAGGCTTACTGCTATGCGAACCACCTACATGTTCCCTCAGCTGCCCATTCTCACCTCTTCCAGACTGAAAAGCACACCCCCGATCGGCGCACCAAAGGCAACAGAGACTCCAGCAGCAGCTGCAGCTGACAACACCTACAAGGCAAATAGTTCTAGGTAAGCTCCAAGGCCTTCCATGAAAACGAACAAGTGCCAGCATGTGCAGGTGACATGGGAGAAAGCGGCTTTGGGAAGAAAGCTCCACCGCACACGGAAGCTGAGCCAGCTCACCTCGCGCCTCTTGCCCTCGTTCTTGCTGTACTTGGAGAAAAGGCTGCTGAAGAAGTTGCCGCAGCAACAGGCCACATGCACCAGCGGCCCTTCTTTCCCAAGGCTCAGGCCGGAGGACACTACCAGCACCAGGGTGACCGTCTTGATTAGCAGAGTCCACTTCCCCAGGTAGCCCCTGATGATAAAGCCACTCAAAATAGTCTTTATCTGAAACAGGATGGAGAACGAGAGGGAATGAACTGCTTCGATCCATGCCTAGGAAAATAGCTGCAATTCCTCTGAGAGGCATGTTAAAAGTTTAGATTCACTATATTGCATGGAAGAAAAATCATTCTCACTTTTTAATTTACCTGAAATTTTATATTATATTAACAGATTTTTATATTAATATATAACTTTATATTAACAGAAACATTAAAAATTCAATGCATGATAAATCTGAAGGACACTTAGAGTACCAAAAGATCATAAAGGGGACTGAATAAATCATTATCAAGGTCTCATTTTATTTATGGCATTTTATCCTGTTCACGTTACCCTTTGTTGTATTAAGAAGAGAAATGTACCTATTGATCTTAACTGCTAACTCTTAACTCTTGAAAGATATCCAAGACAAAAAGATGCAGAGCTGGCCAGCTACGTGACAAAGCACAGAGAGTGAAGGAGTGAAGAATAAGCCACCCCAAAACATGCCACTGTGGCAAACTATTTTGAGTTAAAGGCATCTGAAAAACAGCAGGTACAAGAATATCACTCTGACCTTCATTGTTTCTTAAAGGCAGAAGACGAAATTCCCACGTGAAAGACACCCTTCCTATACTAGAAAGAAAGTATCATTCTATCAAGGAAGGGAAGTCGAGGCCAAGGGAAATCTGTAGAAACAAATGTTGTTACACGAACCTTATCCTCCTGGCCACTCCTGCGCCCAACTAACTGCCCCAGCCCAAGCCCCTGGGCCTTCTCACACTTATACAGCTTACTCCTCTTTGCCCAATTCAGTACATAAGTGTTCAACTCCAATTGTGTCTTCAGGCCTCCATTTCCTTATTGGGGCTCCAATGTCATGTAAAACTTATATTAGATCAATTTATATGTTTTTCTCCTTTTGATCTTTCTTATGTCAATTTAATTCTCAGGCCCAGCCGAGAACCCCTAAAAGGGTAGAGGTCATATTTTGCCTCCAGTACAGCAGTGAAATGTCACTTGAACCTTCAGTCGGAAGCTGGCAAACTATGGCCCATGGGCCAAATCTGACCCGCTGCCTATTTTTACATGAACCACAAGCTAAGAATGGTTTTGACAGGGTTTTTTTTTTAAAGTAATACTTATAAAAGACTACTAGTCTTTTGGTGAGAATAGTTGCCCCATTTTGCCTCTTGGGCCCTGAAGCCTAAAATATTGACTCTCTCTCCTTTATAGGGAAAGTCTACTGACCCCTGCTAGAGGTGAATAAGTGGGTATTTATTGTCCAGTTCTTTCAACATTTTTGTATATTTGAAAACATTCTTACTACAATGTTAGAAAATGAAGAAGATGCTCAACTTTCTAATAACGCACTTTTGGGGCGTGTAAAGATGTTTGAATCCATGACAACCCCTTCTTTTCCATCAAATCCTCCCCTGGTATATTGAAGAGGACTTTGACTATAGGGAGAGTCATCTTGCTCCATTTTCAGACCTGCTGCACTTTGTGAATCCCAAATAATGGCTTTCTTCCTAAAGGTGCCCTTGAGTCTTTGCCTAATGGTTTTAGAATTCAACTGTGTGCCAATCCCACTGACTAACTTCATATACTGAGGTCCTCACCCCCCAAACGGTGTTCTTTTAGATATAGAAGCATCACCAATGGCTAAATAACTTTTCTACCTCCAACCGCTTCCACAATTGGCTACAGCGGAATGAATGCTCACTGCTGAGCTAGCAACTTACAAGCCTGTAATCATACATTAATCAGACACCGAGTGAGTCAGTCAATGAAATTCATGGTCAATTTCTCTTTTCCCATTATGTAATACATAATGGGACAATGGTATTTCTTGTCAGCATCATTTGCATGACTTGAAATTGCCCCCTTATGCTCTGCCAAGTGATCAATGTCCCAAATAGCTACTACAGTCCTCCTCAACCTCGGTGCTCATCAGAATCACCTATGGAATTAGGAAAGCTTTCGGACTGACTGTCCCCTCGGAGATTTGATGAAATTGGTCTGAGGTGCATCTAGGGAATGAGGATTTTTACAGCCTCCCCAGGTGAGTCTAAAACGCAGCTCAGGTGGAGAGCAGCCACTGCTCCACTCCTGGAAAGAGTATTAGAGATAATCCTAATTTCTTAAAAGAGTATTTAAGGGACAACCCTGAAATACTCTTTGTTCTTTCACCAACACCTTCTACTGAGCATCATGTCACCTTTGGCGACGTGGGGAGGGTCACGAAGTCAATAATTCAAGTGTGTGTTTGGGGGAGGGCACACGTGTGCGTTCCCAAAGGACTCGACGAGCTCCTTCCTACTGAATATGCGTGAGGTCTCCTAGCTATACAGTCAGACGGTTTTTCTTGAACTAGCCTTTAACTAGTGGCAGACAAACCTAGCTGTGGTTAAATCTATCCTTAACTAGTGGTATTAATAGTTGGCCTAATTGAGCCTGTGCTCTGGGATTTCAGATCCTTTTATTTAAGAGATGTTTTATTATGCCTGCCACAATCCTGCCCTTTTGTGTTGCCTCGAATAAAATTATCTATAATTTTTTGTCAGTTAGTTAATGTGGATTTGCACCCCAGGGTACAGTTTAAAAGCGTAATACCATTTAGAAAATTACAAGCATCTAAATTACCTGAGCCTTTGCCAGCCATGACATGTGGTGAATTGAACAATGTAATAGGTATTTTATAATTCTCTAAAATGATTTTATAAAATTCTCATGATCAAATTAGGGACTAAAGAAGGCAAATTCATTCCCAGTAGATGCCAAAATCCAATCACTCACTTTAATTTGAATTCATAGAGACTGAAGTGAGCAGGGCTTTAACAAGATATATTACAGCAGATTTGACTTGCTGATGGTAACCTGAAAACCAGAATGCTTTCTGGTAAATAAATATTTGCAAGAGTGTTTGTGTTTTGTAATGAACTGAAACATCAACACAGAGTAAGTTCTGAGAGGATATGATTTCTTATATAACAGACAGTGGGTCTACTGATAAAGCACACAGAAGTAGAAAGATGACACCCTTACCCAGTTCTCTCTAAATTCCCAAGCCCAATAAACTGTGAGTATTCTCTTTTATTTATTTTATTTTATTTATTTTTGAGACAGTCTCACTCTGTTGCCCCAGCTAGAGTGCAGTAGTGTCATCCTAGCTTACTGCAGCCTCCAGCTCCTGGGCTCAAGCAATCCTCCTGCCTCAGCCTCCCGAGTAGCTGGGACTACAGGCATGCGCCATGATGCCTGGCTAATTTTTCTATTTTTAGTAGAGGCGGGGTCTCACTCTTGCTCAGGCTGGTCTGGGACTCCTGACCCCAAGTGATTCTTCTGCTTCGGCCTCCCAGAGTGCTGGGATTACAGGCATGAGCCACCATGCCCAGCCAGAGTATTCTCTTTTAAATGTGCTTTATAGAACTTATATGGAGCATTTATTACACAAAAAAACAAAATTTCTCTAGATTTACACTTTTAAAAATGTTTCCAAAGGAATTTTCATTCTAAGTAATCAAGGTATTTTGGAAGCAAATGCTAGGGAGGATGAGCAATTTGTAAAATATACATAAGTGCACTGTGTTCACAGTCCGTCCTCACATGGCACACCTATGGCAGTTTGTAGCGGATTGCCTCAGACAGCGATAAATTTGTCTTCTAAATAGTTCAGTCAGTGTCTTTGCTAGAATGAAGGAGAACAGCTTCATGTCCCAATTGAAGTCGGTTTATATATTTATTAATATTTAGTTGGGTTTTGGCTGCGAGGAGGTTCTTTTTATCTACGAATTATTCATTTACATTTACTTTTTACTCTGCCCCTTTCCTCCAAGAACTGGGGTAGGTACTATATCCTCAGCTTAAGAATTTTGAGCTCTACTATAATAACAGTGATAACTCTGCTACCGTTGAGTAATAATAACCAAACTTACTTATAAAACCTCTATTTGGTTCCTGATACATTAAAAGATTGTTATGAACTGTTTCATAGAGAAATGAATCTATGAAATACTGATATATGGTTAAAAGCATATTAAGAAAAGAAGCACCCATGTGCCCACTACCAAGCTTAACAAACAGAAGAAGGCCGGGCGCAGTGGCTCACGCCTGTAATCCTAGCACTCTGGGAGGCCGAGGTGGGTGGATTGTTTGAGCTCAGGAGTTTGAGACCAGCTTGAGCAAGAGCGAGACCCCGTCTCTACTAAAAAATAGAAATAAATTATCTGGAGGACAACTAAAAAAATATATAGAAAAAATTAGCCGGGCATGGTGGTGCATGCCTGTAGTCCCAGCAACTGGAGAGGCTGAAGCAGGAGGATCGCTTGAGCCCAGGAGTTTGAGGTTGCTGTGAGCTAGGATGACACCTCGGCACTCAGTCTAGCCAGGGCAACAGAGTGAGACTCTGTCTCAAAAAAAAAAAAAGAAATAGAAGAGTGGCTGCCTTTGAAAGCCCTGTCCTGTGCTTGCCTCCCCAATGGGACCTTCCTCCTTCCCCTCACCACTTCCAATCATTTCTTTGCCTTTCTTTATATACGGTTTTAGTACATATGTCGTTTCATTTTGGCTGTTTATGGACTTTATATCAATAGAATCATACTTTCTGTATTCTTCTGCAACTTTTTTCACTTGGCATTGCATTTTTAGTTTCTTCCAAGTCAATGTGTCCCCTGTACTTTTGTCACATAACAAATGCTCAATTCAGTATTTTATTCCCTTGAGCTCAGCTGCCACCAATAAAGATGCCCGCTTTAGGCATAGGCAGGGCTGTGGTCAAACTGGCACAGGCTGACAAATGCCACTGCCTGCAGATCTGAGTAGAGTGGCTCTCAAGCTGGCTTGGGCTAACAATCACCTCCGCTTACAGAACTAGGTGGGGCGTTCATTCACTCTGCAATGCAGGGACCACCAGTGACAACCACAGGGGAATGGGGAGGCAGGAGACAGAGGAGAGCAACAGTGTTAAACGCTCACAGTGCATCTGTCCATCTCAGGCCAGGTCAATCCTCCAGAGCAGGACA